ATACATGCATGGTGAATGAAGCAGGAATGATTTGAATGTACTCATTTATGGAAAATAATATTGGTTTTCATTTTTGTCACACATAGGGGTATCTCCATGGGACTGTGATTTTCCAATTCCCAAGAGTCTACATTTTTAGGACAATTTTCTGAGATTCAGTCTACTTTTTTAATGTCTCAGGAAAATGGATATGACAGTGGTTAAAAGTATTTAAATTATATTTTCAGTTTCATAACCATGGAACTATATAAGGGCTCAAGAAAAAAAATCAAAATATATGACTAAAAGTAGATAGATAAAATATTGTAGGAGAAGATGACAAGGATACTAATTATTATCAGTTAGTTTAAAATTCAGTTAAAATGTTTTAGTTGATATCTAATTTATCTCAATCACTCACCTGGGTTATATCAATTACAAATCTTTATTTATCCTTTGTGAAAGTAGGTAGTAGAATGGGTCCATAAGTACAAGTTAAAAGTTTGACTTTTTGTTACTAGGAATCAGCATGTATCTCTGATTCCATAGAAAATAAATCCAGACAAAATGACAAGTTGATTTCTCCTCATCCTTTAGATCTTTGCTTAGATGTCACTTCTGATGATATTTTTTTTCTGATCACAACCACACCATGCTGGTACTTCTGTATTTTTCCAATAATTTTACTTTTTAAAACATAAATTATTTTACTTCTTGGTTTGAAACATTTCAGAAGCATCAAATGTACTTACATAAAATCCAAATGTTTCTCATCATCCACAAAGCAAAGCACGTTCTGCCACCTGCTTGCCTCTCTAAGGTGTCAGGCTGTCTGATCCTTCACTCACCCAGCAGGAAGAGCCACGGGGCCTTTCTTCCCATTATTTTCAAATGTGCCACCCTTTTCTGAAAACATTCTCCCTATATTCTTTTGCCTATTAGGCTTATATTGTCTTTTATGTCTCAGGTTTAGTATATTCTACTCAGGAAGAACATCTTCACCACTATGATTAAAAGGCACCCTTTACACTCACTATTTTATATCATAATATTTGTTTATGTCTTTTGTAGTACTTATCACAATTTGGAAATATACATATGTTAATCTGCTTTGCTCAAGTATGAAAGCACCTTGAGAGTAGTGATCATTGGCACATTCTCTCTCCCTCTCTTTTTAACCAGTATATTCTTAGGGCTGAGCATAGGATACATATAGACAAAAATATTTTAAATTAATTAATGAATATTATTTATCACAATCTTCTATAAAATTTTCAACCTTTCCCACATATTTTAATAAGTGAGGTCAGGGTAAAGATTTCATTTCTTTCTGTTTACCAGTTCCATGACTCAAATTTTAGCAGGACCCAAAAGAATCGGACATGAATTTTATAAGACATTATCATAAAAGTTCATAATATATAACTTATTATTGAACATAAATAAATAGTGCTTACTATGTGTAATATTCTTTAAGTACTTTATGAATATAAACCCCCTGAATCTTCATAAAATTACCATGAGGTAGTTCCTATAAATTCATAAACAACCAAAACAATGTATCACATGGCTAGACTTCAACTCTACTTAAATCTTTTTTTCTGTATCCATTCAGAAGTAGAGTCCATATGACCAAAAAGATAAAGGATGAAACCTCTTAAAATATATAATCTTGTTCTTACTTAGGCAGAAAATATTCTTCTTAATACAGAGATTATCACCGCAGTCCCTGAAGAGCAGTTAATACTTATTCTAAGAGATTAAAATTTATTTTTCATATGTACTCAAGTAGTTAGAAATTAATCTTCTCTCAAGCAATTGAAATGTTAAATTGTCTCACCTTCTAAAACACTTCACATTTCTCATTGCTTTTAGCAAAATTGGGAAATAAGACAAAATCCATAAGATATTACTATCATTGGTGTGTATTTTACCCATGGGCTGAGATACCCATGGGTGCTTTCAGATTTCACTTTTGCTGAAGACTTGAGCAACAAAAGCAAGTGTATTAGTAGTATAAAATACATTTATAATAGAAATTAAGAAATTAATTGATACATATGTGTATATATATGGCAAAATTCATTATTATTATATGAAAGAACTGAGAATCTTGAAATGTTCTGCCTACTTAGACATTGATTTAAATTATTATATAACTCTTACTCTCTTTAAATCCTCACTTATTCTTATGTTCATCTATTTCTTACACCCCTTTTGCTCTCAACTGGACATTTCTCCCCTCAATTTTGCTGTTTAACATGTGTAACAGATTTCTCATTTGTTGCCTGCCTCCACCTGTGCACCCCATCATTCTTCTCATACTCTCTCTCTATTCTCTGCTTTACTCCATTTGATTTTCACTAAGAAGCCTTATTGTATCCCACTTTGTTTCTAATATAATTACCTTTATTTGGGGGGAACTATGTGAAAGATTTCAGAAACTAAAGTGGTATATAAATCTAAAATCATTATTTTATTCTTCCATGTGTCTTAGAAATAACTGACGTTTCTTTCTTTGAGCAAGCAATTGCTGCTTGAGCTCTTGCTCTTGCTCTTGTCAACCTTGGGCTTTATTTCTCTGTAACCTTCTATGAAAGCACCAGCTTACACTGTTATAGAAAGTGCCAAGGCTTTGAAGGAAGACTGAAGTGGAGTGTGCCTCACCCCTTGTTGCATGTAATTACATTGGCCATCAATAGGTTGCTTCATTCATCTGAGATAACCATAGGATGGGAAAATAGCTACCCTGGAGAACTGAGAATTTTAAATGATATGTCCTATATGTGGACCTTCATTTCTCACCTTACCACCTTTTCTGTCGCTCATTTCATCTTCAGTACACTTTCTCACTTTCTGCTTTGTCTGTTATTTAATTGTGTTCTTTGTTTTTCCTTCTTTAAAGGAAAACATAATATGTTCATGTGTTACGTTTATGGTATTTTGAATTAATGTTCTTGGTAGACCAGAAGATAACAGTGAACACCTACAAATCCCTGAAATTCTGCTATTTCTGCTTATATTATTTCCAAAACTCTTTATCTCTTTAATGCACCCTATGAAAATTGAAGTTGGCTGATATTATCATACATAGCTAGGATCAGTTAGTTACTTGTCCCAATAGCACACAGCTAACACATGGAAAGATTGAACAAAGCTTTCTTGACATGAAAGCTGAAGTTTCTTCTGCTGTGGCATTCTGACATGTACCTTGAAAACTATAAGACCTTGGAGTGGTGGCAGTGTTGATTCTCAGTAGAAAGAAGGGAAAAGCCACGAAACAGGAAACGAAAGTGAGTACCAGACTACTTCTAGGAATAGAAAGATAAGCAAGCAATAACTTTTATATCTGCCATTTTGGTAAAGTTTGTTGAAAGCATCCGAATGCAGTAAATAGGAGCAAAAAAGAGAATAGGTATATCTGCCAATGCAGTATAGAAGGTGGCCAGAAAAGCTCAGAAATGTATCTCAGTCGCTCAACAGTAAACCATCCATCTATAAAGTAGAAAGGTTATGAGATGACCAATAGGTCAGGATCAAATACAAAAGGAAAGGAAAGTGCCACAAAAACAATTGTTTTTACAATAATATACAATTGTTTTCATCAGTCACATTTCTTTTGATGATGGTAAGGCAGACAAATACTTCAGGAAGCATAATTATTTATTGAAATTAATAAAAAGATTAATTCATTTTATCTAAAATTAAATAAGTACTTTGCTTTTAGGTTTTTGAAAATAGACAGGTGGAGAATGTAGTATATGCCTCCTACCTAGTTATTGTATTTAATTATATTGACTTATATTGGTATCTTTCTTGGTTTTCTATTTTTATTTTCAAATATACTCTTAATGCCAAAGTAAAGACTTTGCAAGATGCTTTAAATGTAAGCATTTCAAGCCCCCTTTTAAAAATGTGGCAAGAATAATGTACCCTCAAAGAATTATCCACTTGGGACATATTTTGGGCTGTTAGATCTTTCAAAAAATAACTTAATGTAATGAAAATTGTTAAATAGTATTACATTTGTAGATAAATAATTAAAGATTTAATAACACATTAATTTATGTTTTTGAATTTCAAAATTCAAGAATACCTTTTGTTTTCTCCTCTTTTCAACATAATTCAAGGGTCCATAAAATTTAACATGTTCTGAATTTGGGGAACATTCAGTCACTTGGAAGCTAGAGCAGTCTCCTTATTAGCATATACTAAGGGAAAATACACAGGATATATTGTTGGTTTAAGCCCAAAGAATAGACAGTGTAGTTGTTCTTGCTTTTTAATGCAACCACATGCTTTAAGATTTAATTATTAGTTTTGATATAGGAAGAAAAATTCCTAACATTAAAGATTTATTTCTTAAATCTATCTTTGGCTGATGCTGAAATCTCACAACCTGTGTTCTGTCTCTAGGTATAATGGATAAAGACCAAGTTCAGTATTTTAAACATGAAAGTGGGACTCAATTTATTATAGAGAAGCTTTTAATCTTTGTCAATGGCCTGACATGCTGGATTTTATTTAACAGTTGAGTTTCATAGACAAGGTCTAGGCATTTCTTCAAAGAACCTGACCAAATGCTATAATCCATTTCCTTCTGAAATTGCAATTGTTAAATTAGACACAAAACATTTATGAATGTCACTTCGCCTTTCCAGCAATTAAGGAGTTCAAAAAATCCCTTTGTGTTTCATGGCTTTGAAATTATTGTATTTATTCTGAACTGGCTCTTCAATTTGTTCTATCAAATGCTTTGGAGGTTACGTTAAAGAGGGAGACATCAATTCTGAACAAGTGTGGAAAAGGGTTCCTTGATGTATAAAAGTGTTCTATTTTAAAGCCATTTTAGCAATTTTAGCACATCTACTGCTGTGAATTCCCATGTAAGTAGGTGGCCAATTCATTTCTCTTTAAAGGGAAGAAAGTCTGTAAGTCAACATCACAGGCCTAATTTTGCCATGAGGAGGCTCAGCTGGTGAGTTGACTGAAACTTTCCCTTTGTTGTCTCATTGTTTCAGTGTTGATCCTCCTCATCGTCACTATGAGAAGACGGAAAAAAGAACCCCTTATTTTTGACGAAGAGAGAGATATCAGAGAAAATATCGTTAGATATGATGACGAAGGTGGGGGAGAGGAAGACACAGAAGCTTTCGACATGGCTGCGCTGAGAAACCTCAATGTCATCCGAGACACCAAGACCCGGAGGGATGTGACTCCAGAAATTCAGTTCCTGAGTCGACCGACTTTTAAAAGCATCCCAGATAATGTCATTTTTAGGGAATTTATTTGGGAAAGACTGAAAGAAGCCGATGTCGACCCCGGCGCTCCCCCCTACGATTCTTTGCAGACGTACGCGTTTGAGGGCAACGGCTCCGTGGCTGAATCTCTCAGCTCTTTAGATTCCATCAGCTCAAACTCTGATCAGAACTATGACTACCTGAGTGACTGGGGACCTCGTTTTAAACGACTTGCAGACATGTATGGGACTGGCCAAGAGAGTTTGTACTCATAGCCTTGACACCTTAGTTTGAAAGGTACTGAAGAAAAAGTAACAACAACAACAAAAAAAAAACCACAGAAAAACAAACAACAAAAAAATAAACAAAAAAACACACTTGTTTTCTGTTTTTACAGAAAACAAGAACTCCACTTGCTGGAGAAAAATGGTTGTACATATTTCTTCGTTTTTAACTGTTTAGGTTTCTGCCTTGGTGAAGCATATCTTCATTAGACTTACCCAAGGGATTTCACTGACCACAGACTCTGAGCATTTGAAGGTTTTTTGATAAAAAGAAATGCTTAGTGGTTTGTGAATAGATAGCAACTCTCATATACCTGCAAAGGCACCCAACCTCTATGAGTAAGTAGTGCCCTGTGTTGTCAGTGAGTCAAGGATGCCCTGTACATACCTTTATGGTACTGTCAGTAAGAGGATTAGAACACGATGTGCCATTGAAAAATCCTGGAACTTCTTGCATATAAAAACTTTGGACAAATTTAATTTACAGCAATGCTTTTTAGCTTGCTATATTATAGAATCCAGCAGAAGTTTATTGCTGTTGGTTAGCAAAAATATTTTATTTAGCAATATACAAATTCTCAGAAAATCTTCCCTATATGAAAATCCTTCAATAAAAGCCAGTAAAATTTGGTTAAAGGCAACATAAACACTTGTTTATCCAATAAATTATAAAGTGTTCCAAATAAGAAAATGGTAAATAAATTTTAAAGTTTGCAATAGTTTTGAGATGCTTGTGTAGGTATGACTTAAAGAAAAAGTTGCTGTCTATTCGTTGATCTTTATTATCTCTTCTGATTTGTACAGGAGAATATCTTTTCTTTTTTATTTGACACATGGTGTTATATTTATTTTGGAGCTCCAATCTCCACTAAATTCAGGTCCATCTTACTGCCTCATAGTATTAAACTCATCAGAACATGCTGATTTTTCTCCAGCCTGAGCTACATGAAGGAAATGAAGCATGAAAATGGAGAAATAATAGTAAAGCAATTGAACCCTGTTGCAGTTCACATCTCAAAGAGGAGCACAGCTACAAGGACATATAAATTGTTCTTCTGAGCCATTAGAATGTCAAAACATTGGAATAAAATATTTGTATTTTAGAAAGACTTCAAAAAGAATTGAGATCTTCTTTGATGCAAGATTTATTTTTCAAGGTCATGAGTTCTACATGCTCCAAAGACTTAAGAATCTGTTCCCTGACCTTTTTTGCTGTAAACATATTGAGTATAAGATTGAATTTTTTTATATCTTAAACAATATAATGTGATAAATTTCAAAACCCATCTTTAAGTTCTGATGCAAACATGTCCCTCAAGAATTAACCAAGCAATGTATAATTTCTGTGTGGTTTAGATGTGCCAAAGTGAGGAAGGCAATCGCAAGTAATCATATGTGTTCAAGTTTGAGATGAGCTTCTTAGAGTAGGACTTTCATGACCAAAATAATATTTCTACCTATTCTTTTTTCCTAGATCAATAGTAGTTTAATGTGCATATATTCAAGTAAGAATGGATTCATTTTTTCCTTCCTTACTCCTTTTCAGAATGATTCATTGTTGGGTTCCTAATAAATTTACAGATAGTAAACACTGTGTAGAAATTTGTGTTCTAAAAGTGCTTCTTTCTGAAAGGCAGACGCTGAAATAATATGTTGATTACACAAAGAGAAATTACAAAGGATTCTGTAAATTTGCAGCCCAACTTTAGAAATGAAGTATGTAAAAGTGGCCTTCAGCTTCATAAAAATAAATAATTCAATAAATTTGATTATCTGCAAACAGTTCTCTAATTTGAATAAAGTTTGAAGACATTGTTTTATGACTAAATAGATATGCTTCTTGCTGTATTAATGTGGATATATAAAAACCCAGTTTTATAACAGAGTACTATTCATGACTTTTAGTCACACATACAAGTTTTTCTAATAAAAAAAAATAGTACACTTACCCAATTCAATAAAATCAGAGTGCGGTGCAGGAATTTTATGGATGTGAAGTCAGAAAGGTGCTGAGAAAACAGTTTGTAATAATCCCCTTGTTGTCTGCAAGAAGATAAAATAGTTTAGTACATTTGGATTATGTTGTCAAAACTGCTGATTGTTGCACATATCACTAAATGAAGGTTTGGATGTATTTTAAAAAAGAAATACCACATCATTCACCTTGCTTTCTTTCCTTTTAAAGTGTATTTATTTTCTCTTTTTAATTTTTTTTTCATATTTGCCAATAATAGATTAGGAAATAAAAGGCTCAAATTTAAATAATGATTTAAAATGCTTACATAAACCCAATTACTATTTATGTGTGGCAGATTATTTCAATGCAGTATTAAACTTGATTAATTAGTATTTTAAAAAATTGCTTGAGATGGCTAGAATGTTTTTAATGTACATAGAATTTATATGAAGTACTCTCAGATTAATTGCAATGATGGTGAATTTGTTATTTATTTTACTTTTTTTTCCCCTGAAATCTAATGTTATATGTGATTATCTGACTATAATACTTCAGAGATGGGCTTTGTCTTAAAAACAGACACTGGAACAGTTGATTGATAAAATCAGTCTTAAAGCTAGGTAAGAGATTTTTCAAAAAAAATCATTTAAATAAATATCCATTATCTAATTACTTAAATTCAGTGTTGTGCTGGAACCAGTTAGAACTAGCTCCCAGAGACCAATTATTACATGTCTCTTCCCCCCTCCACATACAGTGGTATCACTTTGGTAGGCTGTTGGCAGTTATGGGGGGAATATGTAGACCACCATGGTAAACTGCAAGTACTACCCTTTTTTCTGGAGAAGGAGTTATTAAATGCTTACTAGCATAAAGGAAACGTGATTATAAATATAGTATGAATGAATAGAATATCAAATAATGACATGAAAGGAATTTATATTGTATTCCACTACTCAATATAGATTCAGGTGGTAGTGATTTACTGGTATCAAATCCTTGCAACTATGTGTAGAAAGGGAAAGGATGTATTTCATTATGGGAAGCAATTAGTTAATAATTTTGAGTACAGATAATAGTTCAGGAAGTCAATAAGTGTAAATATATTCCATTTATCCAGACAGAGGCACCAATAGTAACTCAGAGTGTACAAAATAATGCCCATTTTAAGCAATTTAATTTTTTGAAAAATTAGCTGAATATCACTTGTTACTATGTCAGAGAAACACTCTGAAGCCCTTATTCTGAATTGTTACCATTGCATTATTTTATATCAGCATAAAAATTATGAGAACCACATCTTATCAAGAAAATGGGCTTTCGCCAGCTACTGGCAAAAGAAGGCTGAGGTGGAAGAATCACTTGAGCCCAGGAGTTGAAGGCTGTAATAAGCTATGATAGCACCACTTCACCCCAGCCCGAGTGACAGAGCAAGACCCTGTCTCTGAAAACAAAAAAAAGAAAAGAAAAATAATAGAAAGTGAACTTTCAAAAATCAAACCTAAATTATCAATCTCGATTTACAGATTAGTCTCTCTTTTATAGTAATATTCCAAGATCAGCTACTGACCAAAATCAGAAAGGAGACATAAAAAAAAATAGGTAATAATTTGGAGGCAGTAAGTAAATCTTTCTAGAAGCAATCACTAGATGGATCAAGTAAACTTTTTCCTTTGCCATGAAGCTCTACTGAGGCTGACTGCAGTCGTAGATGATTACAAGATACTTGCAGGAAGCAATAGTGTTTAAGTGATGATAGCTGCCTTGTCACTCTGCCCTCTGAGAATGTTTTAAATTATTTTATCTTCATGTGCAATTACATTTACTATATTGGATGATAAGCAGACTTAGGCAATTATTTTCATGTAAATAGTATAGCTGTACAAGGTATGAGTGACATTTGTGATATGACCCACATGCCCAAAGAAATCCAAATGCAAATAGTGTTAGTATTTATGTTGAAATATAAAATCTAAAGGAGCTTAAAATAAACTAATTTAAATATATTGCAAGAGGCAAAACCATTTATTTAAATATCTGAAAGTTGAGACTAGCTATAAATATTCTTCAGATTTTCAATTTGACACCTACTGACTTACAAACTATTTTAACAATAAAGCTAATCATCTTTTAAGTCATCATTTAAAAGTTTATTTCGTTGTTTTAGTTAAGTTAATACATTAACTGCTATGTGAGTTGTCTTTAAATCAGGCTAGTTTTGATTGTGGGGCTTCCTGTTGCATATGTAACTCACACATCTCTTCCCCTTGGGAACCTCGAGAACTATTTTTCAAATTGCATATAATTCACACACAAAAACAATAAAAAATAATAAATTTTTTCTTAAATTAGAAAGTATCATTTTGTTTTTGAAGTTTTTAAATTCTATTTTAGTAATAAAACACAGTTGTCTCGAGGAAAGAAAATTTTTCTAGCATGGCAGTCAATGTGTTAAGGTGGATGAAAGCTTCAACTTACTCTTTTAACTCTTTCTGGTCAGGGATGGCTGGAGGTGGGAGGCATGTATATGATAATAGATAAGCCAATGTATTTTCTATGTTTATTTGATCCGGAATATGCAATCAGTTATTTTTAATTACTAATAATGTACATTGTGGGTATATATGATGGTGTATGAAAGTTTGGCAATGAAAGCTGAACCAATCATGCTAGCTGACTAGGTATGAAGAAGAGCAAGAAAGGAGTAACAACATTTGCATTTTAAATGTAATGTAAATTGTTTCAGAGGAGTAGGATACAGCCCTTGAGAAAAAGGGGAGATATTTGAGGCTGTGATTTTGCAGGCACTGTAAGGTATCATTCTAGGAATAATTTTTCAAGCAAAAGCAAGACACGCAGTGTATGTGCCAACACTTTTTTATTGTTATGCTAACTTCCACTGGCTCAGAATTTTTTTTTTTTTTTTTTAGGAGTTAGAGTAAATTTAACTGAAAAGGACGTGTGTCTGCCTTTGTGTTCCTGAGACATTGAGGAGTATGTCTGAAACAACCTTAAAAAAATCATCTAATATTACCTAGCTAATGCCAGCACATTATTGTTATTTGTCAAATGACTGTTAGGCAAATAAGACCAGAAAATATGGTACTGACTGAAAGGAGAAATATTTTGTTTGCTGTTACAATCTTATTTAATTTATATTAGGTAATGGATTTTGGTGGTTAAGGGAAGAATATTTAACTGAATTATCTGTAAAATTTCCACATTTTATTTTTATTGTGTCAATGCAATCTCATTGTAAACACAGAATATAGAGTTTGAGTTATTTAATGTGGAATGTTACTGGGCTTTGGCCTTTTGAGTATCAGTGTGATGTACTAGAAATTATCCTGATTGGTGGTTATGAAATCTAGGTCAGAAGCTCAGTTCCAGCACAGTAATGCTGTTCTAATTCTCTGAACTTTTATATCTTCATTATTAAAATTGAGTTAATGACTATCTTGTGTTACAGAGGCTTGTCAGATGGTTAAGTGAAAGTTACTATGTAAACTGTAAAAATGCTATGAAAATGTAAGGCTTTATTATGGAAAATTATGAAAATTATATAAAAAGGTTGATTATATTTTTTTGTTATATGACAAACACAGATAATTTCTGTTTTGGGAAATATGTATTTAGGAAAAATACATGCAATTAGTATCCTAAATTGGGAAAGAATAATCAAAAAGACAATTGGCATAATTAATTAAAACCACTCAGAAATAATCATAATGTCTGTAAAGGCTGGAGTCTAACTCAACTTAATGCAATCATTCATAAGAATTAAGGATATCATCATGGGTATGGGATTATAAATAAAAAACAAGTCTTTCTTATTCATGATGATTGGAAGATAAAGGCCTTTAGATTATCCCAGCCTCATTACAGAACACAAATACACTGGAATAGGGAAGACTTAAAAGACAATAATGAATATAATAAGTGAGGTGGTCTTCCAGATATCCAGAGTAGATGAAAAAGCAAGGTTCTAGGCAATTCAGTAATCTTTTCAGTGATAGTGACATTTGTATAATTAATACTTTATACACTTCAAAAAATTAGAATGCAAGGTTATTGACTTAACATGAAAACCATCCTGAATGCGAAGTATTCTTGTTTTGATGATTCAGAATCACTTCTAATATCTTATAATAG